GGGGGCAATGCACCGCCAGGTGGTACACAAAAGGGGAAGAGGCATCCCTCCGAGCGGAGTCCTTCCTTGGTGCAGCATCTGTGCAAGTTTGGTTAGGTTGAAATAGCTTAACCCTGCTTAACCATATTTCAACTTCCGATGTGGCAAACAGCCCAATAGAAACCAAACACTCATGACTTGTAATGTCAGCAAAGGATGCTAGACTAACTGACTAGCTCTGGTGTGAACCGAGATTCAAGGACTGCTTCAAGGCTGAAGATGCTACCATCAAGGCAGTGGCTCCAACAGCCATTCCACCGGCCAACTTCAGCATCTGCGAGTTCTCAGCCATGGTCACAGGATTCTACGGCTGGTCTGCTTGCTACGGTTGAGCACAAAATTTGCTGCACATAGCGAAGGTTCCAAGTGCACATGCTGATCTTCGCTTTGCTCCTCAGGGCTGGCGCCTGCTGGATCGTAGTGTGGCCATGGGGTCCTCTGTGAAAATGCCACAACGCGGCATGCCCCGATCAACTTGGTTTATCCTTCCTACCCACTCATGGGAGCCCCACTGATGTGTCGCTGACCTGGGTGATGAAGCCATGCAGCAGTTGCCTTGCTTTGTGGCGAAGAGCTTCGGCCTGGCATCTGAGGGTCAAATCAACCACTTTTCCAGCAAGGCATGAAGCCGTTGAAGACCTTCCAACTTCGCCGCAGCTTAGGTCACAACTCAATTCGTGCTGAAATGATGTTCTTTTGCAATGAATCTGGCATGTCAGACTGCTTCCGCTGGCTCTTGCTTCACTGAGTTGCAGTATCGACTTCACCCCGATAAATTCTAACATCATCCCGGCCTTTGGCTTCAGAAGCGTCTTTCTCGGACTCAACTTCCATCCTTACATGTCCACTCCGTTCATGACCCAAGTGTTGTCCCTGAAACACTCCCCTCCGGAACTCCAGAGTCGTAGCTCCCCAGCTCGTAGCCGCACCAAATCGCCACCAAGATGCTTATCTTCCATCGAAGAATGTGTGACCTGAGTTACACGCTGGCAAGGACCAATGGGGATCGGGGTGCCCAATCCATCCATTCGACTTGAGAATCCCGGCTTCTCCCACCAGTTTGAATGCTTTCAAGTGTGTATCTCTGTTTGTTGTTTATTCCATGTTGTACATCATACATGATTTCGAGGAGTTTGTTCATCCATATTATACAGAATATAGGAAACGTACTTTTATATATGTAACATGTCAATCACGTAATTATTACTGTATTGCGGTATAAATGTATGTCAACAATGAAAAGCTATACAAATTGAGTAATTACAGTACGTGATATTGCTTTGTTCACCTTATGTTGCACACATATGCCTGGGCCAACTTTCCCGGTCCCCCGCGTCTGGAGCTGCCGGACGTGTCGCGCTCGTAAGAGCGCGCCCAGAGCGCTGGTGGGGAGGGGCGGACGTGGCGCCTCCGCTGGGCTGAAGATCGCACAGTGCGGCGGGGGTCATGGACCAATGGAGAGTCGAGACGTACCTCCCAACCAACGTCCCCACTCGAGCAAAGCAACCACCTTGACTACAAACATCATCTTCGTTCATCTTCCAAAAATGCCGTTTGTAGGTGAAGTTAGTTTGGTGGAGGGTGCTGTTGATTCTCAGCATGCAGCCCCACAAATTCGTGGAGAGGAGAAGTGGATGAAAGCTCATGGTGTCAAAAGCTTCTTCGGTGTGTTTCCAAACAGGGGGTTTCCAGTTCTATGCTCGAATATCGTTCTATTTTGGAACTGTGTCTGCCAAGGGTGCGCAGCGTTATGGGTTTGGTCTGGCAATGGTACACAGCGCTATTGGGCTTGGGCTGCCCTCAAGCCAGCCACGAAGTATTATATAAACAATATGGAAGTAGACAATTCATGGACTGGGAGACCGGCCACCGAGGGGTAGAGGTATCTGTATCCACAAACAATTCTTTTTAAACAACATCTACTTACTAGTAGTAGCAGTGGGAGCGTCCAATGAACATGGCCCATGGCCCTCAAAACGCCGTGAATCGCTTTGACATCAACACGCCGGGTGATGCTCGTGAAGCCCAACAACACCCATACCCAGCGGCAGCCAGCACGATGGGTCTGTCGTTTTACACCACATGCTCTTCAAAGGTCCGGTCTGCGAATCCCCAATTCCCATCCAGACCTCAGCGGCTTCGGGGAAGACCACCAAGATCTGGGTGCCGAAAGAAACCATGTATGGTGAATGATCGATTTCCCTGGATGGGGTGCCCTGTGCATTCCTAACGCTTAACTGGTACTGCAACAATTTATGGAAATGTATCTAGACATCCTGTCCACATAAATCTGTACAATCTTTTACTGGAACTTTGGGTGCTAATCCGGATGAGGGGCCCGATGCGACCGGGTCACATCAGGGTCACGGACTGAGCCCACGGAATGCAAAGGACTACGAACTTCATGCTTGAGACAGCCCTTTCAACAAAGCCTGGTGTGCACCTGGTACCTCTATTGTGTTGGGGTGTTGGTCTTGTTTGACCACATTCCGACGTGGCGGATTCAGTATAGGGAGGAATGCAATACAGCTGCCTTCTTTGACTCCAAGCATCACCAATCACACGAGCACTCTCATAAAAAAACATCATCTTCTTCTTCTTCTTCATCTTCATCTTCATCTTCATTTTCTTCATCATCATCATCCTCGTCCTCCTCGTCGTCGTCGGCGGCGGCGGCATCGTCGGCATCGTCATCATGTCGAAGGCCCAAAGGACGCCCAATGGCTATCTGAGAATCAATGTGCAGTGTCGAACATACCAGGCTGGCACCCCAATCGCTCTCACTCAGGGACTCAGGGGCCATTGGCCCAGCCCACCATCTGCGCTCATCTGATCATTCCGACATCATCCTAGCACTTATCAGCAAAAAAATCCGACGAGTGGCCGATCTCGGTCTTCAAGGGCTTGAAGGGGTTCTCACAAACCTCCTGGAAGTTCTTGTCAGTGATCACCCAGCGTGTGCTGGCACGCACGCGGTTGATGCCTCAGTCGAGCGCTGACTGGCTGACTGGTGGATGCCAACACAACACAAGCCCAAACAAGTCCACTCACCACCACTCAACCAAATACATCCGGGAAAATTAACATGGAACTAGTTTCCTCTACAACCCAGTTGTTTTATGTTGTTTTCAGGTTCCACGTTATTCTTCCAGGGTGATCCAGGGTGTAGAATCAGATCTTCAAACTGTCCTCCAGACTCTTGAGTGTGCCAGACTTGGGAGAACAAAGTGGATGTGGTGGTGAAAAAAAATGCGGAACTGGCTTGCAGAATGAGCTTCGGAAGCTAAAATGTTTGGAATCTGCCTTTGGTGTCTGCCAATTTCGTTGACGTTCCTAAGCCTGAGCGGTTTGGGTTCAAACCGACTCCAACTCACGCGCAACTGCCCCACACTCTTTGAAGCTTTAAATTCAAGCGGGTTGTTCGGACAGGGTTAGGAGTGTCCCTACAAACGGAAGAAAGTCATTGCATCATTCTGGAATTTCTGGCTGGTTCTGCTCTGCCATTGAGTCTTTTTTCTTCTACATCACCTAAGCATCCTTGGCTCAGAAGGTCTTCTTCCTTTTCTGCCTTTGAGTCGTTGTGATCTCGTTCTGATCTCACCACCCGTGGACCCCCGCCGCGCCACGGCGGTGGTTCTGGTGCACCGTCACGCAGGGCGGTTGCAGCACCACTTGCCGAACGCCAGCGGCACGCAAGCGACAGTGGATCATGTCATCCGTCTGCCAGTTTTGCGCCACCTGGCACATCAGTGAAATCGGGACACTGATTTTTATGTTTACTGTTTTTTTGGCTGTCTTGGAGTGTCGGGAACAGAAACAAAAGGCATAATATCAATATCAGCCAAAAGGACAAAGGCAAAACTGGCGGAATTTGGTGGAGGAAAACGCATACTACCACCCAAAACAAACTGGTTGAGCAAATATGACCCTCCCAAAAGAGTCTGGAATAGTCTGGACTTCTTCACATCGAAACAGCCGGCTCTTGTTATCTGTTCCAACCACACAGTAACACCATCTAACACGTCAGAGCAATAGTTAGGGCATGCTTGGACCCAGAGGTCCCTATGAAAAACATTGAAAAATAAAAGGACCGGATAACCCCACATGATAAGTTTTACAAATTTCAATTGTATATGAACATCACATGGGAGACGGAGTAGTGAGATGAAAAGTCAAGAACGAAGTGTGAGGAGAGAAGGTATATGAGGCGGTTGTGCTAAGACGTGTAGTATAAGTGATGATGTGATGGACGAGGATGAGAAGGAGGGGAGGGAGGAGGTGTGTATGAGTGAGTGAGTGAGTGGAGTGAGTGAGTGGAGTGAGTAAGTGGAGTGAGTGAGTGAGTGAGTGGAGT